CACACACACACACACACACACACACACACACACATGTAAAAGTCATTACTCACTTCCACATACACAAACTCACTCAGATATAAATGCTTATAAATGCACAAAAAATACGCCATCCAGAAATCCACATGCGCGACCCATTGCCCACTTTCACTGACATAGAGTCTACCAACTTTCTCGCGAATGTAAATTTTGCCATTCTTATCGTTTTGGAACTGTTGTAGGTGGTATTATAACCATCGTAATGGATCTTTATGCTCAAGTTTGACGCACCCTAGAAGAGAAGAAGTTAAAGAAAATCAATCGAGGAACATAAAAGATAACGAACTAATATTATCTACCTCATGAACCCACCATTTGCCCTGGTATCAAATAACTCCTTTAAATTTCGTTATTGATATCTTCTGGCTAGATTCAAAACAATTTCCAACGCCATTGTAGTTGTTTCTTCGAGAACAGTATTGTGGACAATCTTATAAAGAAATATTAATTCACTTTTTCTGTCTCCCGTGTAAACGGATACGTTTTATAGAAAACAATGTTTAGGGAACGAATTGCGTCTCCGATGAGCTTACTAATAAGTCTAGAATCTTCTGGAACTTGTTTCTAGAGAAGATTTTGACGGCAATTTTGAATTTGATTCTCCATTACGTGAAATGCCATAAACTCCGTTGCCTTTTTAGCGTTGGTAATTCATTTACGGCTCTGGAAGCGAAGATACTGATATTTCAGTCTAGGATAATAGTCCTCGCAGAAGTAATTGACTCGCAGACTCCCGTAAGGGAAGGGGAAATTGGAGTTTGGAGAGAAATCGTGGGGAATTCATCTTGTACCTATTGTCTCTACGCAATTCTGAATTTCCCATAGCCGCGTCAGTCCACCGATTGAGTCGCGATATAAATGTTGCTTCCGCCAGTCTCCGATGTGGTCATAATTACATCAGCTAGATAAAACCGCGGCGTCTGTGATGTAGGGGTTCGGCGTTTCGCTGTCGCACGCAGGAAACCGGAGTTCGATTCCCGAGTGGGGGAGCAAAATGTTTACCAAGTATCTTTGTCTGTCTGTCTGTCTCGCGACCGGGTTGACCCTGATAGGCAGAGTCAGAAGCCTGCCTAGTAGATTGTTTAAACTGTATTGATAGGGTCGTAAAAACACCCACATTTTCAAAAAAAGTAGATTGATAAGAGCGGTATATTCTATGACAATCGAGCTGTAGTTCGGAGTAATTCCACGGTTGACTGTAATATTTGATGAAATAGATAGTCGACCCGGGCTGACAGACTATAAATATTATACGCGATAGTATTGACCAAAATAGTAAGTCGTTTTCAGGAGCTACAGGTTCTTTCTCAACCCCGTTTATGTTTGTTTTAGTGGATGACCCAGAGACTCAATAGCACGAAAAAAAAACGTTCTCCCTTGCTGTTAATCGCCTTCATAGCATTCATGATTTTAAGTATAAAATTGACTCGCATCCCTGTTCTGGGAGAGTGGGTGGTTGGCGGGTGCTCTGGTGTGGTTTGCTCCTTCTTTCCTATCAAACATCTATCGTCCTTATCGCCCCTTCTTCTTTTTTATGTTTGTTACTCTTGTAACACCTATAATCTTCTGGCGCTCATATGACCCTATGCAGGTGCGAGTGCCGTAAAACCTCTACTAAAACTTTAAAAAACCAACTAACTGTTATGGCAGTTAGGCGCTTCGCCGTCGCACGCAGACGTCGTGAGTTCGATTCCCGTGTGGGGAGGTGGCTTTTTTTCTTTTTTTTTTTGGGGGGGGGGTTCTCTGTTTTGTTTTTTAAAGTCATGCCCGTCCGTCTGACTACTGGGACGGTATGTCCATGTCACCTGGAGTCAAAGTTGCACCCCTGCCTCCATGAGCTAAATTATGCAGATTGGGGCGTATGACATTCGCAGTTGAACCTACACACTGTCTCATAGCATAACATAGCGCAGAACAGCATAGCATAGAAAGATACAGAAGGTCATTTTTACCATCATCTATCAAAATGCTTCCATCTTAACCATCTTGTTTAGTGTACTTACGACCTTAGAGC